CACAAAGTTAAACGATTTTAAGTCAAGCATAACGCCCCGCCCGTCTCGGAGTATTTACGAACTTCTATTGCGGACAGGTATAAAACGGCGCCTCTCCCATATTTCTAAATAAAATTGAAAATTTTGTCATAACATAATTATATTTGTTACATTTGTTACAAAAGTTTTGTCACTAGCAACATCACTTGATATTGCTGATTTTACCATTTATGAGGAAGATAACTTATGCATTAACTTATTATTTAACATCGTGTTTTCCTGAGAAACATGGGCGACTTGGAAATTTTTAGGGGAAACAATGACCAACTTCAAGGGAGTTATTTTATTGATAATCTAAAAACCATCCAATATTTTTATTGGTATCATTGAAAAATGTATTCATTTTGGCACAAATTTCATTTTCAACAAAAACTATGCAAGTATTTGCAAAAATAGGATTTTAAAGCGGCCACCGAGATTTCCTTTCCGAAACCAAGAAAATATTTATCCGTAGCACATATGTACAATCTTTAATAAGGTTTTTCAAAAATAAATAAAAACTTTTTGCACTTATTTGTTCATTATCCCTCATGTACAGACTCAATCGAACCGAGTCTGCAATTCTTATGTATTTTTGTTGTGATTAATGCTTCCGAGGGATCACTTTGTTTCAAGATTTCTATACTTCACAACAGCAGGTGTCATGTGCCGTGTGGCAGCTGTAAAAGTTGCCCAGTACTTTACTTCAGTGTTGTTATATTTTTCTGGTCCTTCGGTATCAATAATGCCAGCGCTATTAAGTGTTGAGAATTGAGTACCGCTCAAGCCGGTGCTAGGGGGCGTGAGGGATGTTGCCCTTAAAGTTCATTATCCCTCACGTACAGTCTCAATCAAACCGAGTCAAACAAATTCTTATGTAATTTTGTTGTGATAATGCTTCCGAGGGATCACTTTGTTTCCAGATTTTTAATATACTGGTTCAAAGCTTATGGTATTAACTTTCATTCAATATTCATTTTCTTTTTTTAATAAAGTATCTAAAGGAAGCGACGTGATTTTCTTGCCGAATATATGAGTGTGGTTTAAATAGAGAAAAAATAAACAACGATAAGTTTGAAACAAAATTTTTAATATTTCTACGTAATTAATTTTCATTTTTATGGCATCACTAGAAAGTTCATGAAGGATTCTTTTACTTGAGTCTAAAATTATCAAAATTTACCAAGAAATAAAAGAAGAAAGTAGGGGGCGCCAAGTTTCTCTTACTGAATTTCAGAGTGTGTTTTTTTTTTTTTTTTTTACTTGGGGACCATATGTCGTTTTTCATGGAATGGCACTTACGTGTCACATTGAAGGTTCCATGATAATGGCCATATTAACACATCTGCGGATGTTTCAAAATTCAAAATTGACCAGTTCATGTTAAATGTTGAATTTTTCTTTCGCCGGTGCTAGGGGACGAGGACGGTAACTTGCACTTTTCATTAGCGTCCATGAACAGGCTCAATCAAACTGAGCCTGCAACATTCTCAATTTTATTGTTTTGAGCGTTCTTTAAGGGTTCTTATTCTCTCTATTTTACAGAAAGTAACATGATAACTTAAAAACGAAAAGTTAATTCATTTTGATTTAATTCATTTTTATTTTTAGGCATTTTATAATTATATATCATAAATCGTATGAAGCACACTTTTATTTCAATCCAAAATTATCAAAATTGATTACGAAATAAAAAAAAGTTTGGAGGGAACGCCGTGTTCCCAATTTAAGAGGAAAAAAAGATAAATTTTGAAACAAAAATTTCAATACATCTGTTCAATTCATTTTTATTTCTGACACACTCATGGGAAGCTTATGGAGTAATCTTTCATTTGATACTAAAACTATTTGACTTTTTAAAGAAATAAAAAAAGTTAGAATGGACGCCGTGTTTTCCTTCACTTTATTTAGAAATAGGAGAGAGGCGACGGGTATTATACCTGTCCGTACATTTCCGTAATAGAAGATAGTAAATACTCAGAGAGGGGCGGGGCGTCATGCATGACTTAAAATCGTTTAACTTTGTGAATCTACTTTTGTCATTTTAAACATGTTACTGTGTAAACGTACTGTTGTAGTTCTACGACTTGAAACACGTTTTATTAAATTCTATTTTCTGTATTCGAGTTTTACATTTCATTTGTATATTTCAGGTACAGATAGATATCTACAAGTGTGGACGGTAACTTGCAATTTCCAGTACCGTTCACGAACAGTCTCAACCAATCTGAGCCTGCAGCAAAATCAATTTTGGTTTTCTGAAGGTTCATGAGGGCTTCCTTTTTCTCTATCTCAGCTATATACCATGTGTTCCTTTTTTTAAGATTATTTAAAATATTACGTCACAACTTAAAATGGACCTTTTTGTGAATTAAATCACTAATTCATTATTTTTTATAATACGTCTTACTGTTATGCACGAGTTGAACGAAGTCCAGTCCGGCTGTATTAGTTTTCATATATCTATTGTTTGCACAGGAAGCTGCAAAATACATTTTCCTAAAATACATTTTTTTGCGCATTTGTTATTTTGCATTGTACTATATTATGTTTATATACTTGAACTCTTGGAGAGAAATTGCATCAAAGTAACTAACACATTGACTGTATGCAATCGTGAATTAGGCTGGTATTGATATCATTGCTTTGCTGTCATACCAATGAACAACATTACCACCATGTTTGCTTTCACATAATCTACGTATCTTTAATATGAATCTTACGATTTCTGCTATGATGTTGATCTAATTAATATGCTGAAATACAAAACAATAACTATAGCTGCAATAAAATTCAGATAATCTGAAAACTTCATTGTGTATGGCACAAAAATATCAATTAAGATAGATGAAAAATAATTATTTAATTGCATTATTTTTAGCGATTAACCACTTGTGTGTACGTCAAAAACAACCACGTTTTAAGATTTTTGATAAGAAAACGCAATTCACACAAATTGCAGAATCACGGTGACATATCAATTTAACAGTTAACAAAAAACTTTAAAATCCTGTATAAATGCTAACTTAAGTGTACAGCTGAAAAATACTTCTTTTTAATGGCAATACAATGCCAAATGTATGAAAATAAAGCAATCGTTATTAGTTTATTGTAGAAAGTAAAGAAGGTATAGAAAACAAAAATACTCATATACGCATACAAAAAAGGCTTTATGAGCTTATTATGAGTAATTATATCATTATAATTATATTTTTTCTTAAAATCTCGTCAAGATTTACAATTTATAATATACAAAAACAGTTATAAAGTACATTGCCAATCATTATAATTGATTATAGACTATAGAATGCCTATGACTGATGAATAAAACTCTACATTTTCAATTAAAACAACGCAATATTCTTAACATTTGGAGTATATCTGTCTCATGCTTGTATAAAATGTAATTTGATATGGCTTTGAATGTTATAACATTCAATGTATAATAAATATTATGTTATATGTTATGTTATATATTATATATTATGTTAAAAAGTATCAAGAATCCCTTTTTTGATTAACCACTATATAGTCAGGATAATGCGTCACATCCTTATACAGATGCTGCATAATTTGTACAACTTGGGCTCCAAAAGCATTAGCTTTAGCAAATTATCAATTTAAGGCTATGCACACAGGATAAGTAACTTTTTTTGGTCGTTATGACAAACTTTAAAACCGTTTTTTAAACGCTTTTACAGAACAGCATAGTCTAATATGTCTTCGTCAACTTTCAAATTAAACTCTGATTGAACAATGAATGGATTTTTGAAAGGAACTATTTTTTTGTGGAGTCTGGTAACAATAATTTACTTATTGAAATATAAAGTCTCATCTTGACTTATTAAACAAAACTCAATATTATGAACTGTATTTCTAGTACATCGATGATTTTAGTATTATTCTTTCGACCCTTAGATTATTTGTTTCCTTTTAAATGAGAATTCATACGAATTATATGATACTTTATTAATTAAAGTGCATATGCTGCAATATGACCAAGCTGGAAATGAGGGGAAAAACAGATTATCAAAATCATTGCCTGTTTAGTAATAATCAAAGATGGGAAAATATTTAGAACTTTAAAAATCGAGATTATATTATTAAAAAAAATCATAGAGTAAAACCTTTGATGTTGTACTTTGAAAGTGTTGCATTAACCGATGCAAGGGCTGCGTGAGACTTGTCTGTTCTTTCACTATGTATGGGTTAGGCCCTGTCTACACCTATCCAAGTCTTGAATGCAAGTATCATATTCTCTTGTATTGGATAGTGTAGACACCCTACTTGAATGGTTTTTAAAGAGAAATTATGTGACATCCATGAAGATAATTTCTTGCAAGAAAATTAGAACAGGTTCTATTTTCTACAAGTTTTTGGCTGTCAAGACACTGATAACACCAGTTTGACACAAAACATGTGCCCGAGGTTTGATAGTGCTGTTATATTTTATTATTTTCTGACTTTTTGTTGTTGATTCAGTGTACATGCCCTTTGAATTTCAGTAAATGTTTACAATGTATTGGTCAAAGGAACAAATCAATACGCTGATACACAGAAGAGCAAAAAAAAATTAAATAAATAAAAATAAATGCATTGTAAAAATAAATAAAAAAGAGCTCTTTTTCAAGTAGAGTCAAAATGAATTTAAAATGATCTTGTTCATTTAGTGAATAACTTTCATCAAATAAAGAATTTGCATCAAAATAAATTTTTGTCACATTTTTTCAATTTTTAAAAGAATGTACGCATTTCATTTACTCCATTGTTTTAGCTTAGAGTTTGTATTAAGAGGACCGTAGGGACCCATATAATTGCAAATTCGCTCTTACAACTCGATATCAGATAAAAATAGAGCAAGTGTCACCTCTTTAATTAAACATAACATTTTTCCCCAGCAGTCACGTACAAACATGGATGGTGTCCAATTACTTTATATGGCATGTAAAACAATTTTTCGAGTCAAAACACCCAAGACAATATCTAAGATTGTTAATGTAATTTATTCCTGTCATATGAAACAAAATAATGTTTTGCTTACTTTTTCAAGAAGATATAAACAGTCAGCAATTTATTATTGATATTTTTCTTAGAGTTAAAAGGATATCAAAAAGTTACTGTGTAATCATTTGTCTCTGCGAGATCTGCGGGTATTATCTATGTAATAAATTTGAATGTATTCTCAAATTGCTACAGTGTTATTAGGCTTTTTAGAAACACCTGACCTGGCTAATTAAAATATGCCAATCACAATTATCACTATCAGCACTGGTCTTTTCATGAAAAAAGAGGCTACACTAATTACTGCCGAGTAAGAGCCGATTTGCAGTTATGCACGTATAACACAAACAGATTCCGCTGATCTGCAACACTTAAACATATACAACATAAAAATATCTAAGTGTACATTACCCAAGGACTGGTAAATGTAAGTGCTTTTTCTGCCAGTGGTCTTGCGACATGTGAGTTTGTAAGTATGTCAAAAATATGTATAGAAATTTAAAATACATATGGGTGCAAATTCCATTCTTATAAAGGGAACAGTCCGAATGTGTTGCCTTTTGAATTATGTATAATTCTACTTGCATCGTTTACACGGACATAAATTTTATCATTTTTTGTCAGATGTACATGTGTTTCTATTTTGAGGCTACCAACTACATCACCAGTATTTGTCGGATTAAAAACCTCTGATCTCCCTACCAACGTCTGTTCATATCCGTATATGGATTTGCATATTCTGATCGTTATTCTTTGTGGTCTTTGAAACCCTTTCTGGTCGTTACTGTGCCTGTGACTTATATTGAAGTGTACCGACGTGTACAAAAAGTAGCCTCGTCCTTCCGGTATTGTCACCTCACCATTATCGTATTGAATCGACTTGTCCATGTAACATTTACTCGGATGTATATTCCAGTACAGTTTGTCATCTGCAGCTTGAGTATCTGTTTATGTGAAAGGTATATAACTTAAAATGAAAATTATTTACTAGAGCGTATGCATTTCATACTTTTTTTAGCAACAAAACCGATAGAGAAGTAAACTAAATTGTAGAAGATGAATATCAAAGTTATTTTTCGACATTTGATTTAGAACTTAATAAGAGAACGATATTGGGGTATATGATTATGACGTTTAATGACTAGTGACTAGTGTTCATATCACTGAAGGTTTAATTGTTTTTGCCCTTTGTACCTCTGCAACGGTCGCCGTTTTTTGTTACAAAATCGTTTGTGTTTCTATCCGTAGATTCCTTTGTACGACGTTTTTGGCGCATTTTGTTGTTGTTTTCCAACATATATGTTTTAGAATGCTGAGCAAAAGGCATATTTTTCATAATTATATTTTTGACTGTAAAAAAGCTATCGAAATCTTAATTTACATAGAATGATTACATCACGTAACGTTGTAATTGGTCAGCTAGTAACTATACCCCATATAGCCATTAACGATTTGTTTCGAAGAAAAGACGGTGACATTACTGAAGAACGCGACACTAAGCGAACTTTCGAGTAGCGTCTTGAAAATTGGCATGTATAAATTGACCCTATTTCAGAATAGATAACGTTGATTTTTTTCCAATAGTTTATGGCATTTTTTGTACACATAACGTTAAAGTTGACTTCCAAAACCCATTGTGGAAGATGATTCCGTTGCATATTTTTGGCAACCTAAAGTCGAAAAAATTTTACTTTCATTGGACGGCCTCTCGGCCAATAGCAATCAGGGGAAGTGTTTGTCATGAAATAATAGTTAAAAGCTTTTCAATAAATCATTTAAAACGGATTTACCCGAGTTGTTTTGTTGCTTCAATATTTCTCTGAAGAATGCCGTCTGATATCCGGAGGTTTCTCTGAGGCTTTCATTCCCACAAGCTAGATATCGCTTTTCTTTCCCTAAATGTACGATACGATAAGTTAGGGACTACTAAACAAGATTAAATGGAGAAAAATCAAATCCTTAAAGAACGTCCAAAACGGCAAAATTGAACATATTGCCGGCTCAGTTGGTTTGATAGAGCGTGTTCATGGACAATACTGGAAAAAGTAGGCTATCATTTGCCCTGCTACCTCCCTCTTTGCATTATTTACTATTTAAATTTACATGTAAAATTGCAATTTTTAATTTGGGAAAATCCGCATGTGTTCATACGACGGTTATCTTGGAATCTTCAATATGACATGTAAGTTCCGTTCCATGAAAAGAATGTATGTGCCCTAAACGAGAAAACATTGAACTACCAAATGAAATTGAACTTTGAATCAGAGGTTATGAAGCCTACATATCATAGACAAATTGTCTAAAAACAATTTTAAAAGCAGGCATGAACATTTTTTCCGTGAGAAATACCGGGACCACCAAACTAGAAATAAAAACAAAAAGAAATAACAAATTCAACAATAATGACTTTTTTATAAATTTGCTAGTATAAAATTATTTTTCTCCAAACACAATCATCATCTATATTTTTAATCAACACGAATAAACATTCCTAAATAATCCCTTTTGTCATTTTATAATACACGTCTTATATATAAATAATCTGACCTTTGTCGTATTCTAATAACCTTTGTTTTAAAACTCGTCTGATAACATTAATTATATGATACACAATATTAAGTTACGTATCCAAGTAACAAAGTCAACAATAGATTGCGAAATGACATTCAAACTATAATCCAAAATGGCCGCCGCGCATGCGCAGTAAGTTGAGCCAAAGTGACTCCTATACTACTATCCGTATTAATTCTACTTTTTAAAGCTGGTTCGATTGAGCGTAAGAAGTATCACAAATTGAACAATAATGACGTTTTAAACGTTCTTTTAAGGGTAGAAATATAACATCTCTGATCGTATGACCAATGCGACTTATTACAACCTCAACACGGTAGAAAGAACGTTATTTTGGCAATCAAAAAGAGAGACATAGAATCCAGTACATCCAAATGGCAAAAAATAAACAGGATATAAAGGAATGAATATGAATAATTGTATTTAATAATCATTTATATATCTTTTAAATTCCTGATGACCAATGCGTTTCATGAAGATTTCATTACTAAAATATTGAACTTGCTATAACAAGGGTCGGAATTATTATAAACTATTAAACATTTCTGCGTTACTGCAGATCCGTTCTATTCAAAGAAGTTTCAAAACCATAAACTTACAACGATTAAAGTAAGGTTGAAATTACACAAGTCTCGACATAACAAAATCTTATTAATTTGCATGCAGGGTCATGCATAAATACAATAATAATAGGCAGACAGTAGTCGAGGCAAAAACACTTCAATTAATGATTTGGTATATATTTTAGAAAATATCGTTTGACTTTAATAAAACCGAAACAGAATGCAAACAATCGGAAAAAACAACAACAATCACATTTTTAAAATATACATGTACCTTGAGCTAGATGTATTCTACCTTCCTTTTCCACAACCTGTTAATTATATTGACAAAGATGTTGATTAAGGACAGGTCATTATTCTAAAAAAATACGAGTAGATATTAATTTTTTTTTAATCAAAACAATCAGTTATTATATTTGAATTAGAGGAAAAAAAGCATAATGTTTTCTTTATTAATTGCTGAATGAAAGTATTTTCACATAAACCTAAGAAATTCTATGCGAAATTTACTACTGGCACCATGGTCAATGACTGTATTTAGCAAATACCAATTACCGTTTGAACTATTTCTGTTAAATTCCTTTTACTACAAATATAGTTTCCCTTGTCATCAATGAAAGTTTTCAAACCACTTTTATTCAAGTCAAATGTTATGTAATCTTCATCTGGACTTAAAGACAATAATGAGCATGGCACAGGAAAATCTTTAATCATATCCAAGTTTGACTGAAGTAATGTCCACTCTTGATGAATTATATATCCCAATAATGATATCAAACTAATAATTATCACCAATAGGGTTGAATGAATAGTTAAAACTAAATAATATGCTTGAAACACTTCTTTTATAGCAGTGCAATTTGAACGTTTATTCTCTATAATCCTCTTCACATGTAGTTTTATCTTAAAACAAAACTCGATTAGCTTTAAAAAATACATGGTCACACTGACCTGCATTGACTGTTGTAACAGATAAACTAATACAATCGGTATCAAAGTGTAGGCATTCACAGCGAACGGAAATAAACGAAGCAGAGAAACATGTTTAATAAAGATAGAAAGGGTAGCTGAATATTTAATGTATGTTAACTCAGTTGTGTCAAAGAATTCTGGGTCTTAAGCAGTTAAGTTGTAAATAACATTATCTTCAACAACTTTGCTATGCAAGAAAATGAAAACAAACGATACGAACAAACCAAATTCGTCAAGTTATATTTTACATGTACATATTTAACACAAAAATACTTTACCTTTAGCAAAGGCTAGAATGGAGCAAATATTTTTATTGTTTGCCCTCACATGAAACCCGAAACGCTAGGAAAACCCCGATAATGAATGAACAGGTCATTAAAGTAATGATAACAATCCACGTGTCCGGACTTCTCCTCTTATACCACTAGTACATTTACAATGAAACTTTACAGGATTGATTGGTAGGTCACGTACTTTCGCATACTACTCGGGTTTTCCGCTTGAATGATTTTTGGCCAAGTTATGGCATTTAAATGAAAATGGTGTCCATATAGTTTCTCCGTACTAATCTTCATACATCACTGATGCAATTTCAATGCAACTTTACAGGATTGATTGGTTGTGCATAATCAGGTACGTATATTAACATATATACCTGGCATAATACACAATATTTTTGCTTTAATGATTTTTAGCTGATTAATTGCCCTTGAATAAAAATGTGTTTTTGTGTTGCCAGCTACACAGAGGTTTGTCTGAACTACTCGTCAGGAACTACTGGTCCAATTTCATCAAAACTTAGGGGAATGATCATAACCATGTATAGTTGTGCATCTCATTAACATTTTTCGGTTCATTGATTTTTGGCAGAGTTTTTGGGCCTTTCATGATTTAAATTTTGAAATTTGTCCGGACTACTCCTGTTTTACTACTAATGCAATTTCAATAAAACTTTACAGGATTGATCGATAGCAAATTCTTGTGCATATTACTCAGGTTTTTAGGTTGCATGAGTTTTGCCGAGGTATGGCTATCATGAGGCGGCACATGTCATTACTGATGGCCCTTGTTAAACATCCCTGTCCAATATTCACCTTTACTCCCTATCATAAATGTATTTTAGAGGTAATTTAAACTTTGCTGGAGGTCTTGATTGAGGATTGAGTTGAGCTTTTATGAAAAACTTCTTTGAAGGCTAAGTGTGAGCTACACACCTGGGTCTTTCGCGCGACACACCTTCAATAATATTAGTGTCACAATTTTAAACTTGATTTTTTTAATCCATCTAAAAATGACAATGATAATAATGATATTATTTAATATATTGTTTAATATAATTTTAAAAACATATCTTACAAGTCCGAACGAAATATATATGCATACATGTATATTTATTTGATAGAAATAAGATAGAATTCATTTAAACTCGTCCATTTTGTATTGGAGAAAAAAAGAATACATTTTTATAACATGTCACCATGACTGACTCATAAATGTGGAATCCCGACAAGTCATACTAAAAGTATTTCTTTTTTACTGCGGAATTGATTGTTATCGCAAAAGTGATTATTTTACGAGTCATTTGAGCAAAATTCTATTATAAAAGAATCAGCAATTTGAAACAGGTCCACTTAGGTTATTTTACATTAAGAAACCGCAAATATTTTTTCAAGTTTTTTTGTATAACTTTATGTATGTCTGGAGTACTAAATTGCAGATAATCCTTTTCAAAGGGATGATCAATTTTATTGCTTAAAATGACCCTAAATAAAGCTTTCCCAAAATCGCTTAAAAGGTTGATTATCAATTCAATTTTGAATATATTTACAGACCTTTTTACGACGCAGTCCGTTGCTATGTAAAACTGACCGGAACTTGTATTTTTTCGCACATGCGCATTTTGCGTAGGGCAAAAAGAGCCTTGCCCTACATAGAAATGTAGTAGAAATTAATAGACAACTTCTAGTTAGTTTAATGTAAGAATTATAAAATCATATAAAATAGCTTTTAACAGAAACACAAAAGACGTCTTTAAAGCTGTGTGGCCAAAATTGCCCCCAAAAAGGCATAGAAAAGACGATTATTTAAGAATCCCCCCTTACGATCACGGACCTGACATTGAGATTATTGTTGTATATATATCAGCAAATAAAGAAGTCAATTTCATTGTTGTTGAAATCGTCCATTTAAAAATTATTTTTATTACATATAATATATAAAAACATTTATATAAATTTTATAACTTTTAAAATCGAGGTTAATTATCATTCTGAAAAAAAGTCGGAAAACGTTTTCAGTTTAGCTAAGTTTATCCTTTATCCGACTTGAATGAGATGCCAAACAGAAATTCTTTAAGTCACATATATATTTAAATGATTATTCAAACTCCTGAGAAGTTAAAGATGGGTGGTGGAATAACACACATTTTATCTGGTTCCTCGTAACACATGGAAATGCACGTCACATACACTATTTGTCACTTCACAAAATCAATAAACATTGTTGAGATTGGTATGAATAAAAATTACTTAAATTACGATTAATCATTTTCATAGTTTAAGTAAATAACTATGTCAAGGTACTAAAACGACCCGGCTGAATGATATTGTAGACTAGCTGGCAAATAACAACCGGTCACGTGTCAATCTGTTTGACACTAACCGCCTTGCAATCCACTTTCAAAAGAATACCAATTGTGTAATATTATGTAATACATGGGTAATAAAATGTGATCTTTAACACCATGCTGTTTTAATTTAAATTACTGATGAAAGGGTCACCTAATAATA